ACCGTTGATTTCTGTAAATCAACGGTTATGATTTATTGAGTTTTATTGTGAATTACTAATTAATTAATAAATTTGACCCAATAAGTCTTAACAATTGATTTATGGAAATCAACGATTATGATCTAAAATGACACAAAGTTATATCCTTTAAAAGGACAAACATTTTTTCCTTTTAATTTAATTAGAGAAACAATGGTTAAAAAGCTCAATATAAGGGTTAGTTATTGGTACTACTTGCAGGCATATAATATATGATTTAGTTTATGAAGAATTTAAGACCCAATTTGTATCACCGCAGGATCTACAAGACCCCGACGTAGGCAATTTCCAGATAATACCCTTTCCGCCAATGCTACCCAATAATTTGATTTTCCTTTATGTATCTTTTCTAGGATGACCCAATCTACACCCTAGGTTGTGAAGAGTAGCATGCAAAATGAAATCGCATGAACCTACCTCCTTAAATGTTATTAAGTCATCCTTCACTTATAAAAGAGGGCTCATCTATATTTTGAAATTAGCCATCATTTTATCCTGGGGATGAATTTATTAGTAATGTAATCGGTGCAATTGTGGGGATCCTAAAGTCGGATATTGCATACATGCGTAACCTATACACATTTAATACTACCTTATTTTTCCATAAACTTGTGCTAGTGGTTCTACATTAGATATTGTCTCCTGAACAAATGTTCAATCATATCAACCCACCACGCTTAATTTAGAGGAAGATACCAAGATGAAGCAGTTTCAAATTTTGATAAACAACAAAGGAGAGGAAGAGGACGCCATCGAGTTCATTTATTTAACATGCATACTTCACAAAGTAGGAATAGTCATTGTTTAAAAAAGTAAATTTGATGTATGTCTTAAGAGAGATGTCCAATCAACAACTGATGGGTTGATTTTGGATCAAGATGTCCTCTCTCAAATACTTATGGGGAAATATCTTAGATAATAGTAAATTACTGTGCACTATAATAACAGCATATCCAAATGGTAAGGTGTGTGCACAGTAACGTCCAAAAGAGAGGGTTTAGAGTGTGTATATGGTTGGTTTAACCCTCTATTTTTAGACGGGTTACCCAGTAGGAGTGAACTTCTTGTCCTCTTAAGAATATTGGGGATCCAATTCCTGATCCATTAATGTCGCATTAGGATTACACAATTAATGAATATTTTCTTAATTTTCCTCTTAACTATTACCCCTTCGGGGGCTTTCTAAAATGTAGGCCTTTATATCATGTCCATAACAATATGTTTTTTTTTTAATGTTCAGTTGGATTGAACAGAAAATGTCTAGCTAATGAAAGCTGGAGTGAAGAATGATAGAGATGTTTGATAAAGGATGCATTAGAACCTTTAGCCAATTAGCTGACTGAAAGAATAAAAAGTGTGTGTACACACGAGGAATTGTGAGAATGCTTTGGATTTCAAGGGAGAATCAGTACTCAAAGTATGCGTGAATGTCCCCCAGACAGTGTAGTAGCCTTTTATAGAGGTTTTGTGGCAATTAGGAGAATACGAGGTGATCCAAAACTGAAATCTCGCACGTGGTGAGCGTGGATAGTGCAGTGGTGAGAGACCAAAGCATCAGTTGTCGACACGCGACAAGCAGGGGAGTTCCGCCCATAGACTTGAACGACCTCCTTCCTAATCGGATGCCCACTTCTTAAGGGGGCGTTTGGTTGAACGATTTTGAATAAAAAGCCGGCGAAATGTGAAGTGGGATTTTGAGGTTACTACGTTTGGTTGAAGGATTTTTCTAATTTTGGCTATGTAAAGCATTATGCTATGAAACTGATTTGCATATCTATTTCTATGCAAAATGCCGGCGAAAGATACCCTTTTGGTATGTGGTATTGCGCTTTTGCTATCTATTTGGTCAGAGTGTTTAATACCCAAATGACGAGCGTGCCCTCTATTTGGTTTTACATATGGACGTGATGCTGGAACAGGGGGTTATGGTGGTTCGGCTGTGGATCGGTGGTTCGATTTGGGAAAGGTTGAAGATGGGGAGTTGGTTTGTGATGGTGATTTGGGGAAGGAAGGAGCTTCGATGGTGGTTTGGGGGCTGAATGGCTGGGGTTGGTGGCTCGGTTTGGGTTATGGGGCGATGAAGATGGTGTGTGGTGGAAAAAGGTTGACGGTGGAGCTTGGCTATGGGTCTGTGTTAAAAAAAAAAATGAAATGATGGCTTTTGGAGTGCTGTGGGTTTTGTGGTTGGCTGTTGGTTACCGGTTCTTGGACTGGATCGGTGAGTTATGGAAGGAAGAGGACCGGTGGCTCGGTTGAGATGGAGAAGAAAAGGGGTGGTGATGGTTTCTGGATCGGTGGCTAGGCTGGAGATGATGGGGTGGGAGGAATGTGTTTGGTTAGGTGATGTGGATCGATGGGTTCTTGGTGGCCGGTGGCTGTTGGAGCGGTGGTTCTAATAATAAAAAAATAAAATAAAAAAATAAAATAAAAAAAATAAAATAACTAAGTAAATGAATAATCAAAAGCAAGGTTATTTTGGTAAATGCACATTTTTCCCCATCTATATTTAACCAAAAGCCAAACAGAGACTTTACAAAAGTTACCTAATTTTCCCGGTAAAATTTTTCCTAACCAAACAACTATTTTTACATTTTCCTATCAAACTCACTTCCCAACCATTTCCCTACTAATCACATTTTCGTATGATTCATAAAAATTTATCTTCAATCAAACGCCCCCTAAGGGTGTGCATGACAATCTTCCTAGAATCATTTGTTTTTTAATTTTTGTTTCCGGGAATAGAAATGGATTGAAATAGTGTTTGTCAAAATCGGTTTATTTTTTGTTCTCGAGAATGAATCGATTCAATTTCTGTGCTGGGGAACAGAAAAAAGAATAAAAAAAATTCTGTTTTTTTATTTCTGGGCACAAAATGAAAAACACTTGTTTCTCTCAATCACTCATCACCACTACCACCATCATCCCGACATGACCACCACCATTACCACCATCAGTACCACCACTATCAGTACCACCACCACCACTGTCACCAACTACCACCACCATCGCCGCAATCATTATCGTCACCACCAACACACTACCAATACCACCACCACACCATATGAAAAGGAAAGTGATGATCCGAAATTTTTTTATGCTTAATAGGAATAATTTTCTATTCTATTGTTTGTTATGTTATCAAAAACAATTCTCATTCTCAAAATAAAAATAGGACATGTTATCAAGCACTTTTTTTTTCTCAAAAACTATTTGAGAGCACAAAAATAGGAATTTTTTTTTTTTTTTTCAGAAACAATGCCAAGGAATAGAATGATTGTCATGCGCATCCTAAGTTTATGAAAAACCATATTATCCTGGAACCTAGCTTGAAACAATTACAAAATAAACTATTTAAACCATAAATATGTTTTACCATATGTGTATTAACATTTTATAAATGTTGTTCAATTAAATATAATAATATAGTTTAAATTTGAGCACAAATTTAAATTTATAATATTGATGCAATAAAAATACAATTATTATCATTCTATTGAAAAATATATTTAAATAAGCATTTAAAAGTTTAAGTTTTTCAATTTTTAAAAAAGGTTGTTAAAAAAAGCAGTATAAGTTTATTTCTCCAACATTATTAAATAAATAAAGTATTAATAAATAAGTTCATAAGCAAAAAAATATGTAAAACGTTTTAAAAATTTGAATTCAAACGTAAGTAAGGTAAAAATTAAAACATTGAGCCATTTTTTTCATTCGATTTTATAAGAGTTTTGTTGTAGGAAAAGTGATTGTGTAATGTTATAGAGATTCATTTTGCATGTCTTAGATTTTTTTTTTTTTTTTGCTTTAAAAAGTGCGGGCCCCACAAAACATGGTGTGTGTCGGAAATTTTTTTGTGTCGTATTAAAGTACAAACTACAATCCCTTTTTCCTTCTAAATAAACTCCTCCAGTCCTAGGTGTTTAAGACCAACAGCAAACAACCACTAGATAGCAAAATAGGCACTCAATCACTCCAGAGCGCGAAGAAAATCAAAAACCGACCACCTCATAATAAAACCAATTGACTTTTCAACGCGATAGTGTGTTTGAAAACTGACTTTTCAATAAGAACAATTTAAAACATTGTGAAAATCATGTAAAAAAAATTAAAGCATTGATATTTTTTTTTAAATAAAACACACCTCGCGAAGATCGTCAAAGGTAGCTCCGTTGAAAATTGAGTATCTAAGGATTTATTTTTAAACTTTAGTCAAAAGTAAATTGTTAGAATTTTTTGGGTTCACAAGAAAATTATCTTCTTCTTGAAAAAGAGATTAGCCTCACCATTCGAAATAAGAAATGGATTCTTTTAAGTTAAAAAAATATAATATAATCACTTGTCAAAATCATAATCATACAAAGCTGAATCAACAATGATGGTTTTGTAATTATTTATTTTGATATAAATTTTTTTTTATCACCATTGATCTATTTTTATGCGAATATAATTCTCCACATAAATCTATCATATTTTGTTTAATATGATAAAATCACTCCAATTTTTTCCACCAATATAAGAAACTATTCTAAACAAAAACAACAACAACATACAACCAACAGGCACTAAATCACAAGATTCACAACAGAACGTGACAAAGTTAAAAACAAAAAAAAACCGACCACCTCAAAAACAAAACAAAACACAGACAAAGCAATGACCTGTCACCGCGTGTCAAGAAAACCCACTGGGGAAGTGCTAATTAACCCCAACAACATCCACAAATTTTAGTTTCCGGCCATGACCGGTTCACTGAGAGGGACCCACCCGTTACTTTTTGGGCATATGATGACTCAGCTATCCCAATCTTCTATCATTTCATTTGGTTGTTCCAAAAAGCATCCTCTCTCTTTTTCTTACGTGGGACTATAGTCCTCTTCAACAACCACTTCTTCTTTATCATCATTATTATTTTCATTTATTTATTAGCACTTCATTTCCTTCTCTTTTCCCTATAAATCACTCTCACTTTCCCAACTTTCTCTCCTTCACCCCTTTTTAAGTTTTCAGCTTCCATCTTCTCAAATTTCAATCCTTTCTCAAAAATCTAAAACATGCAAGTTCCTTTGATCGACAGAATCAACGATCTTCAAGTGGGTTTGAATTCTCTGCAGAACCCATCATTCCCTTCTCTTTCTGGGATCCAATCCGTTTCCATAGCTTACAATTTCTGCAAATGGGGTGCTGTAATTCTCGCTCTAGTGGCCACCGTCGGCAGCATCATCAACAGAGTCACCATTTTAATTATACGGTTCCGCAACAAGGCTCCTTCTCTTCCTTCTCTCTCTTTTGATGATGACGATGATTTCAGCAGCTCCGATGACGGCGATTACAACGACGATGACGTAACCTACTCGTCATCGGAATCCGAAGACGAGCCATCTGTGTCTTCAAGTTTTCTTCGATTGGATGAGTATTTTCGACTCAGAGGTAGTAGTAGCGGTCTTCATCAAAACGACGACGAGTTTCAGACTCAAAACGGCATACATAAACGATGTCGTAGCATTGGGGATATCTTCTTCCTTTCAGAACTCGCCAACAGCGAAAGCGTCGTCAAGCTCTGGGACAGCATAGGATTCGGACTGGGGTTAGATTTCGACGATTACGAGGAACCCCTCATTTCAACTTACGAAACCAACAAAGGAAAGCCATCGCCGCCGGCGACATCCACGGCGTCGCCTGCGGTGGTTGTCTCTGCCGGTGAAGGCGCGTGCGGTAATCTGGCCCTGGAGATTTGGGACACGCGCCTCCGCCGGCGGAAACCGTCTGTTGTTGCTGAGTGGGGGCCCACCATGGGAAAGACAGTTCGCGTGGAATCCGGCGGCGTGCAGAAGGTTTATGTCAGAGATGACGGCCGTCATGGTGTGACAGTTGGCGACATGAGAAATGTAAGCACGCCGTTAGGAAATGTGACGGAATCTGACGCCATTATTGTTTCGGAGGAGTCTTACGGGGAACAGCAATCAATGTTGCACCAACCAACTTGAATAATTGCAATTTCTGTTTGGTGCTGAAAATTTAATTAAAAAGGAGAAAAAAAAGGCACGATTTAAAAAAATTGTTTGTTTGTATTATTTGAATTAAAGTTTATAATTGTAAATTAATAAAGTAGTTCTTTGATTGTATATAGATGTCTCAAGCGCGTGGTTGAAAATAGACTATCTTGCTTCCAGAAAATTATATTTGGCTGGCTTATGATAGAAGTTTCATAACCGGCGTTTCAAAAAGATTGATTTTAATTTATTGAAGTATAAAATTCATAACAGATAGCTTTTCAAAATATGGAATGCGGTACACGCTTCATAGCTGAAACGTCCAAGTACGATTTAAAATATAAAAGAATTTAATTTTAATATAGTTTGAGTATAAAAATATTAAAGTGGCACGGGATACGAGTTTGAATTGAAAATTGACAAATGACTGTTTCTTAAATTTATTTGTAATTAGTCTAAAATTACATCGATTTGAACTTTTTAAAAATAAATTTTATTAAAAAATTAGTGGTTTAATACGCTGAACCAACCCACAACTCACATTGCACTAGATTAGACTAATATAAAATAAGAATCAAATTACTTTGTCTTTTTTTACCCGCATTCTTTACTCTTATTCTAATTAAAAAATGATGCATTGGCCAAAAATAAAAAACGAACAAGAAAAGTATTATCATTTGAAAATATTCCATTTACTTGTCCTTTTCCCTATTTTTTAATTAAAAATGACTTCTTAAAAAATAACAACTAAAAAGGAAATATTATTGGCATTTAAAAATTTACTGAAATATTAATTTGTAAATGGAGGAATATGAAAAGAAATAGATAAAAAATGAGGTTTTTTTTTTTGGTTACAAAAAATAAAATAAAAAAATGAGGTATCTAATCCCATGAATATTAACCCCAAACATACTTTGGGCAACTTAACCAAGTTTATTTTTGATATTTATAACTTGTAAGTAGGGGTGAAACTAGGTCGGGTCGGCCTACAGGGGCCTACGGCTCAACCTACGACAGGCTAGACCTGACCTAATATATTTCGTAACATAGGCCGGGCTTGGGCCTTGAAAAAGCTTGTTTAATAAAAAGACCATAGGCCCTCTTTCATAAAGTCTGGCCTATAAGCCTACAGGTCAGCCTATATTGTATTATTTATTTTAAATAAAATAAAATATAATAAGTATACATTGAAGAAAAAATAAAAGATATAAACTTAATCAATTGCAATTATTTATAACTTAATTATATTCGATTATATTTTAATAGAAATCTGACTTTCTTTTTTATGTAGGAGAAACCAACCTCTCGGCATGTTAGATTGTATATATGAATATATTAAAAGATTTTTGGGAGAGGTTATACTTACTACAAGCATCATGTAGTTATTTTAATTTACATAGTATGGATTTATTTGTTGGATCTGATAAAATATATGTCATTTAGTTTGAACATTTTGTTTTTGAAAGTGACTTAAATACAGATTGTATGAGTTTTGTTGTGATTCATGATTCTGTTTGGACGTTAAAATTACGAGTTTTGGTTTAGCAACAAAATTTGAGTATTTTGTATAGTTGATTCATGGTTCTATTTGGAAGTTAACAGTTAACAGGCTAATGGGCTAGGCTAGGACATTTGTTTTTTTATAAACGGGCAAAGACAGGCTAACAATTAGACTCATACTAGGCTTGGGGCAGGTCAAATTGAAATTTTTTTACGTAAGCTTGACTTTTCGGGGCAAAGCTTGGTCCAGCCCAGCCCACTTTCACCCCTTCTTGTAAGTAACACCTGTTAATTTGTTTAAGAGACACTTTTTCTTCTTTATCATTAATGCATATGAAAAATATTTCTTGTTCTTAACTTTTATATATATAATAATAAGGGTTTGATATTTTTCTTGTTGTAAGAAATAAATTTATCTTCTATATACATATAAAAATGCACGAGACATATGTAGAAAGAACATAGAGGGAAAAAAATTGGGTCTCATATACTTTTACGTATATAGAAAATAATTTTATCCCTTTTAATATAAAAAAATATTAAAGCCTAATAATAATAATAATAATAATAATAATAATAATATCAAAGATAGACAAATAATCAAAGGGTAGCGTGAAAAGTAATGCTGTCATTTAGACACGCAAATCATTTAATAAAAGCATTTTTCTAAGTAGAGTCATGTTATATATTTTTAACAGTATTTTTAAAACAATATGATTGATATCTTAATGATATAATAAATGGGTGAATGAATTGTCATGTTATATAATAGGGAAAAGTTCACCAATGACCTATGGTTTATTCCAGAATCACTTATGTTCATCTGATTTTTTTTATCATATTTGTCTCTGTGCTTTGTAAAAACTAAGAAACCACAAGGGCATATGTGATAAAAAACATACCCTTTTACAAACCACAGGGCATATGTGATAAAAAAATCACAGAAACATAAGTGATTATGAAGTAAACCACAGAGATATTAGTGAACTTTGTCCTATATAATATAACAAGATATTCCTACTCTCATAATTATATGTGGGCTCCACCTCTTATTTTTTTTCTCTCCACTCTTCTCTTTCCTCTTTCCTCTTCATTGTGAGAGTAGAAATTGTTATCTTATATCATATAACATAACAATTCATTTACCCTAATAAAAAAGGGTTTAATAAGAGTTATGTTGTAGGAAAAGTGATTGTATTATGTTATAGAGATTCGTTTTGCGTGCCAGAGTTTTTTTTTTTTTTTGGTTTCAAAAATTGTGGGTCCCACAAAATGTTGTGTGTGTAGGAATATTGTTGTGGTCATGTTAAATTATAGATACAAAACCCAATAAAAAATTACAATAAATCATTACAAATATACAAATTAAAAAATAAAAAAAATTGTTATGTTATTGATCTGAAAGCCCGATAGCGATTCATCTACGTAATCATTTCCCCAATTTTACATCCTTTTCGTCAATTTCCAACTGAGAGTGTTACTAACTTTTCATATACCCCTGCAAAATAAAAAATAAAAAATTTCATATATAATAATTATGATTATATTATTTTATATTGTATAAGAAAAAAAAATTCTACGCACACAGAAGAAAGATAGATTATACTTTTATTTTTTTCTCTTCTCTTATCGGTGGATTCCACTTATAATTTTGTTTTTATTACATAAGATAACTATTTTTTTATAACACAAAAAAATATTTCTCTAATAATAGTGATATAAAAGATAGTAAATCATTGTTTGAGAGTTCTTATTTTTAGTTTTTTTTAAGTAGAAGCTTAGTCAATAAATGTTTTTATAATAAAAATAACTTTTTTAAAATAAAGAAAAAATCTCAAAATTAAAAGCTGCTAGAAAGAACTTTTTTAAAATGCATGTGGGTCTTTTAGAGTTATCACATTTATTTTTCAATTATACTCTTATTCTTAATTTTTATTTATAAATTTTATTATTTACCTAATGATAAATCATTTGATCTCCCTTTCTTCAAAACCTTAAGAACAACTTTATATAATTTATCAAATAATGTTTAACTTTATTTTGTAATTTTTTTAAAAACTTTAACTTAACAATAACTTTTAACTTACCAAACATGCTCTAAAAAAACTAAGTAATGAGTAACGAAATATAATTTTGTATCAAGACACGTAAATCATTTAATGAAAACATTTTTCTAAGTAGAATAATAATACATCTTTCTAACAATTTGTAATGAATTCTGAATTATTTTAGATAAAAATATATGGATCTGATAAAATAAAAAAATGCAAAAAAATTAGTAGAAAGACATAAATTATTCCTCAGATATTTATGGATCTGATAGCCCAAGAGCCAATCATCTGCTTAGTGATTTCCCCAATTTTTTTATTTTATTTTTGGAAACAAGAGTAAAGAGCAGCTAACGAGCTACTCTTTGCCTATGGGTTCCAACACCCAAAATGTCATTACATAACAAGTTACTACATCCCATAGGAGGGTCCAAAAATAATTGCAAATTGTTCCCATTAGACAATGCTTTCTGAGCCAGCAAATTAGCCAAAGCATTCCCTTCTCTAAGAGTGTGTTTGATCTGAACATTCCATTCTCTATCAAGGAGATCCTGAATTTTGTTTCCCATGTGGGCTAATGGATGATCCATCTGCCCATCATTCTCTATGAACTACTGGACTTGGGTAGAGTCACCTTCAATAACAATACTCCTAAAACCTTGGTCCCGAGCTACTGTTAAGCCCAAAAAAGAAGCTCCATAATTCAGCTCTAAGTGAGGTACCTTGTTGCCCCAAGTTCTTAGTAAAACCTATTTCTCAATCTCTATTCCAGTTTCCGATCACCCCACCACACCCAGATTTCAGGTTATCAATGGCACTAGCTCCATCTACATTGACTTTCATCCATCCAGCCAAAAGAGGGCTCCATTTGATTAATTGATGTTGGATTTTCCTCTATTGAAGCCCTCCTTTCACCAGCAGATCCCTAGCAGCAAAAAAATTCTCATAATGGCTTAGAATTCTTCTTATACTCTGCTGTATATTTGGTTTCACTCCATTGAAAATGAAGTCATTTCTTTCCCTCCATAAGCTCCAACAAGTTATGCCAAAGAGGAGAGGCCAACTGCTGTAGCTAGTATCAATTTTTTTAGATTTTCATTTACCCAATCTTCCAAGGAGTTCGAGCAGAAGAAGGTCCACTTATTATGCTGGACCAAAGCTTTCCACACACCTAGGGACCAAGTGCAATCTCTGATGGTATGAAGAGAGTCTTCGGTTGGGATCTGCATATGGGACAAATATTTGAAGTGGCAACATACCTTTTGAACCTTTGTTGATTTGTCATAAGATTCTCTCCTGCAAGGAGCCAGAGGAAAGTTTTAATTCTGTTAGAACCATCCCATTTCCATATCTCTTTCCAATTCACCCTCGATTGATTTCCATCACAGCTCTTTAAGGTTTTGTATGCAGATTTAATCGAGAAGCAGCCGTCATTGGTTTTTGTCAAGAAGATCCTATCCTCACCATAATATGAGTTAGCAGGTAGCATGTTTGGAATGCTATTCTTCACTTCTAGTGGAATGCAGTTTGAGATCTTTTGCCAGTCCCAATCTCCATCTTGGGTAAC